GCTGTCCTGTCCTCTCCTCTCGGCTCTCGGCCATCCTCGCCCCAAATATATATAGTGGGAAAGTAAACACTTGCGTGTCCGACACACAGTGCACAACAAAAGATTTCGGATCAATGGCCAGGGCCGTTTAAAAATCACAAACGAAAATCAACCTCCCCTCTCCACACTCTTCATACTCGTATCTTCTCTTGCCTACCAGAAAACAGATTAGAAAACTTCTTCGGCTGACCGAGAACCTCCCCCACCCCCAAGTTGTTAAAAAGTTTCCAGCCCCAGCTACAGCTCCAGCTCCAGCTCCCTGTCGGCGCCAGACCCACAAATCGGAGGCGTCTCTGAAATTGAGTGTGGAATACGGAGTCTCAGTGCTGCGGAGCTGCAGAGTTTTCGTCGTTTTCGTCGTCCCAGCGAACGAGTTGTAACAGCAAATTGACATATGGCCGCCAAAGTTGAGTCTCGTGTCTGGAACTGAAACTGGAGGAGCGGAACGCCCGCAACCCCACCCCTCTGCAAGTTGTCAATGCTGATTTTTTCCGCTTGTCCGTTTGCTTATTTTTTGGTGGCTGGGACAGGCGTTTGGCCAAAGTTTTTTGCGTGTCCGACCGGCTTAGGTCCGTCCAATCCCGTTTCTGGTGCGCGCAGAAGACCCTTAAATTTGGTTTGAAGTCTGCGCTTAAATCTCAACATGAGTGCGGCTGTAAATGTCTGAGAGAAATGAGCTTCGCCTTCTGGCGGGCTGCCCGACTGGCTGCCCCACTGGCTGCCCGACTGGCTGGCTGTCGAAATTAAATTACACATTTTAACACGTTTTGCCAGGGACCACTTAACACACAGCGCGGAGGAGTGCCGCCCCGCCGCACTTCGAACTGCCAATGCTCTTCTCAGCAAGAGAACCGCACAATTTCACTGCTTTCTTCTCTGTCTTTGCATGCAACAGAGGCACAGGCATACCCTTTGCCGCGGCTCGCCTTTGATGGCCTTCATCGCACGAAAGGGTGAGTGGAAATGGCAGCGAAATACCTTCCACACATTCGAGCAGCATTTTATATCGACTACGGGATTGTACGACTGGTCGGGGCCGGGTCCGGGACTTTAGTACCGACAGACACATTGGAATTCGCGAACACATCCCCGGCGCATTACAAAGAAGGAAAGTTGCTGTTGCTGTTGCTGTTGCCGTTGCTTTGAAGTGGTTTATACTGATTAGTCTGGTGAATTGGCTTAAAAACGCGCGGCTAACATGAGTAGGAGAAAAGGAGCAGTAGCAAGTAGCAGAAGCAGGTGGTGGGTTGTGGGTGGTGGGTGGTGGAGCAGCGAGGCGGAAAAAGAAATTCTGACATACCCGCCAGCGTACCCGTAGCCCTACCACGCCGCCTTACGTTTGACGACAGAATCGGAATTGTGGGTGCGGCACCCCGACCGCCCTTCCTCTCACCCCACCCCACGCAGTTTAGTTTATTGGCAGCGCGTTGCTAATTGGCGGTTTTATAGTTGTAGCTTGTAAATGGCTTTGAAATTTCGATGGGCCCCCAGTGCACTGACAAAACCCAAACCGACAGACGAGGAGTCAAACCACGTTCACACCACGATCCCCAATCCAAAATCCTGGCACGGCACGGCATGGCAGGGCATGGCAGGGCATGGCACATCCAGCTCCACACCAGCACTAATGATGATTGGCAGCTGTTAAAATGATTAGAGGGTGCACAACTGTGGATGTGGCCCCGGGTTTTGGTCTGGCTCTGACTGTCCGACTGTCTGCAAAGAGACAGAGAGAGAGAGAGTGTTCTGCTGGACACACGGCTCCTCCTCGGAGTGTGAACATTTAAAAGTTTTTTTGGCTAAAAATTAGCGCCAGGTTAAGTCCTCCTCCTCCTCCTCCACCTCCACCTAGAAGTGTAATGAAAGGAAGCTCGCACTTGCACTCAGCTGAAGCGAGTAATTTGTAAATGAGGCACAGAGGCATTAAGTAATCTCTTGGCGAGAATTCCCATTTAATTTGGTCAATTCTTTGGCCAAATAATGGACAGGCATCGATCGAGTGCTTTGCCTGCTGCTCCTGCTGCTCCTCCTGCTGCTCCTCCTGCTGCTGGTCCATCATCATTCTGCGCGCACATCGATCAGTCTTTGCATATTTTGATTAGCAATTCCATTTGGCCAAAGTAATACCGATTTGTACAACCAATCGTCGTGGGCCATCTACTGCTGCTCCCCCTCCCCCTCCCGCCACCGCAATTGTTATGCATTCTGCCCCGGGGGGGTGGGGTTGGGTTGGGCCTGGAAAGTGCACCAATTTACTGTGGAGTGCCGAGTCTTTTTGCGTGAGAAATTTTCAATTAATATGCGCAATTGCAATCGAGTACCCGGGTTACGACGGGGAGGTACGGCAGCATTTTAGCATTTTTCGCATAGAAATTTGTTGCTTAGCAAGCGCCGGAATTTGCCCTGCCACTGCCCCTGTCCTGTTCCCTGCCCAGCCACCACCTGCATCGCAATTCCCGGAATCCCCAAGCGTGAATCTGATTCGGGTACAGGTTTATGTTTTTTTTTGCTCTTCCCCTCTTTTTGTGGGTTGTTTTTGTTTGCGGGTGGGAACAACATACGCAACATTTCGTATTCAAGTGTAAATTGCATTGCAGTTGCAGTGACGACGGGAAAATTTTGGAAAGATTTTGCATTTTTAGTGGAATGAATGAATGCAAACAAAGTGGTGGTAGGCAGGCAGGGAGGTAGAGAGGGAGGTATGGATATACCGTGTTGGGCCAGGTGACGCCACACTGTGGTGGCACATGTGACGAAGGAGCTACCACCCAAATGTAGCGAGTAGTTTGCCACACTTGACAGACACCCCCCATTCATTCAAGCATTCAAGCATTCAACCATCTATCCATCTATCCATCTATGCAGCCATCCATCCATCCATCCATCCACCGCTTCATTCGTTCATTCAGTGGAGAGGCAGCAGCCATTTCTTCGTCGGCACTTGACGCGCACAAATTTACAATTCAAAATGCCGCAAAATTGTCTTCCATTGCCGCCAAGGCCGAGGCACAGCCACAAAACCGTGCTACATAACATCTATTTGACAGCTGTCAGTGGCTGCAAAACTTTTCGTACCGCACCGCACCACCCAAGACGCCCAAAGACCGAGAGAGAGAGAGAGAGAGAGAGAGAAGAGGCGCCAAAGCAGAAGAGAGTCAGCCAGGCCCAAATGCAAATTTTCAATCAAACTCCAAGCCGCCAACGTCGTCACTTGTGTCAGTGCTTCATCAACATCTTTGGCTTTTGCTGCCACTTCGGTTCCTCTTGTTCCTCTTGTTCCCCTTGTTGTTGTTGTTGTTGTTGTTGTTGCTGCTGCTGCAACTGTTGTTGGCCTGCCTCTTTGTCGTGCGTGTCGGGGCGCCTCTTGCATATGCAACACATTTTCATTCTGTTCCCCAGTTGGCAGTTCCCCCCGGTTCCAGTTCCCTTCCCAGCTCACCACCCTTTCCCAATGCGTGGCCAAGAGAGGCGCGAGCAAGCGCCAGCAGAACCGCAAACAAACCGCGAGAGCTGAAATTTTGGGTTGGGGCCAACAGTGGGCCCAACACGCAGGAAACTCTGTCAAAAATAAGTGCACATAGCTGTCCGTTATTCTTAGCTATTCGCACTATTAATGTCAGCATGGAAAATTAATTTTTCCCTTGGCTTTCTGTTCGCTTTTTCGTCGATAAAACCAGCACAATTCCCAGTAAATGCCGCTAAACGTTGCCATCAAACAATCAAATCCGCAAGATCTTACGTACTGTTTAATTATGATTTTATAATAAATAAATACAAATTTTAATAAAATCGAAAATTAATCTAAATAATTCTTTTAAATATTGTCCGAAAATCATAGAGTGGTCCACTGTGCCCCAGCGCTGGTTCGCTGGTTGTTTTCTTTAGGGTTTTCTCTTCTTTTTTGGAGGGTTTGGTTTGGAGGGGCATGCCCCAGCTGCCACAGGCAACGGAAGTTGTTTTGCATGTCCCACAATGTAGATGAGAGAGTGGCAGTCGAATTTTGGCCCGTCTACGTCGCCCGTTTCCACATTTTGTCACTGGGTTTCGGTTCTCGGATAGAACGCAAACGGACAAATGCGATCCGAACCGAAGGAGATGATGTTTTTCCATTTCAACGACTTAAAGTTTGTCTGTGGCCTTTGGTCGCCCATGGGCCAGGCAGGCAGGCAGGCAACACCTGTGGGCGCTCCCAAGTTTATTGATCCTTTTATGAGCCATCAAAGTGACCGCGACCCGAAAGGACTTCGACTTCTGGGGCTGCTGGGACAGGCAGTAAGTCTCCAAAGGTCTCCGTCCACTCAAAGTAGTTTCTACCCCACGCAAAGTGCCAGAGAAATGTCAATAAATGGCTGGAGCCCAGGCGGCATGAGGCATAAGGCACAAGGCACAGGGCACAAAGAATACGCAGATACAAAGAGAGACAATCCCAGAGAGAAGCCACGCCAATTGGCCGCATTAAAAGCAGAGCTTGTAAAAATATTTTCCAGCCAAGTAATGGCCCTGACAGTGAGCCCCACCAGTTCCCAGACCCTCCCAGTCACCCCCCCGCCACCACTGTCCAGCTGCTCCTACGCTCCACTTTCAGGGCACAGAAATATCCTTTTATGATTTATCCCAGCGGTGGCAGTTAAAAGTTGCACAAACATGCGACCAACTATGCCACCCGCTCGCTCCAGCGCGCTCTCCGCTCCGCTCGGCTCCTTCGCAGCTTCCTTGTATTATCCGGGGACATTTTTAATAAGATTGTGTGGGCGTGGCTGCGTGCCCCTGGCCAGTGGCTGGCTCGGATACTGGATACTCGCATCTCCCACGAGCCCAGGGGCTTGTAAGTAAGTTGTTTCAAGTTATTTATGTGTCAATTATTGGGTATTCTGGTGCGGCCAGCAATTCGAGATTATGGATAGTAGTCCGCCCCCCTCCCCCCAAAACACTTGGGCTATTCGTGGCAGACCGAAAGTATTAAATGGTCAAATGAACTCTTTTATTTGATGGCCTGGCCCTGGTCCCCAAACGACAGCCTGGCCAGTGCGCAAAAAATACAAAGCCCCCCCATAAGTGAGAGATTTTTGTATTATTTATTGCAAAAATATGACTCACAAACTTATACGAGTGGATATTGTGGAATGGAGGCGACGCCACACATGTTGCCCGCATTACGGGCCAGCTTCAGATAGCCGTCTATGCCCCAGGATCTGCCCATTGAGTTCTTGAGCAGCCAGTAGTCGCCTAACTTTGGGTCGCTGCCAAAGCCCACCAGCAGCATGGCATGCCGCAGATTTGCCCTATCCGATCTGCACTCTTTTACATTCAATACGCCCCGCGAATAGTGCTGAAACTCTGGATGAATATGGTCAATGGAGACGGTGACGGGGCCAACGTTATAGACCAATTCGGCGAGTTCCCTTTCATTGGCAGTCAGGGTTACGTAGCCGAGCACACTGCCCGCACTTTGTGACTTGCTGTAGCGACAGTCTTCCGTTTGTGGCCTATACGGATAGGACGACCTCCTGGCAATGCCATTGTTCTTCACGTAGGTGTATGCCACACTCACCCACCCGCCCCCGCAGCCCCTGTTGAGCAGCTTCGAACAGTCGAGCAGCTGCTTGGGCGAGAGCTGCACCAGTCGATTACTCTTCAGTGCCAGATGTGCCTCGATGGCACCCGCAGCAGCAAAGGCCCAGCAGGAGAGGCATTCGTTGCCCTGGTTACCCACCGGCGATATAATTCCGCAATTTCGCCAGTCCCTGCCACATCTTATCTGATCGTAATACTTGTAGTTGGGCGGTTTTCGGATGCTCGATACGGGTATATCCGATCGGTACGGCTGCGGGGGATCTTCCGCTTCGAACGGGAGCAGATTTTGCATGGTATCGGAGTACTCATTGAGTCCCATTTCGAAGCTCACACTGCCCGCAGCAAACAGGCTGTTGTGCTGCTGCACCATCTGCACCGTCCGATTGTATATGCCATAGTGGCGAATATTGTCATATTCGTTGTACCACTTGCCATACTGCGCCTTGAACGACTCCCATTCGTCCCTGGACACCCTGGCAGTGGCGCATGCGATCCACAGCAGCAGCAGCAGCAGCAAAGGTGGTTGAAAGTCCAAGCCACTCCGAGGTAAATTCATTGCGATCTAACGGCACCAATGTTGCAATAGAACTGCCGTGAATCTCTGGCTATTTATGCTCATTTGAGCTCAGCAGACTGAGAGTTCAGTTCAGCAAAAGGCACACTGATTAGTGTTCCAGCGAAAGCTATTAATGTCTTGGGCAAACAGCCCCGGCTCAGGTTATCGTTTGGCTTTTCTAGGAAGCTGCAGGAAATCCACGAATCCGAAAAACTGCACTCGAAATATTTTGGCTATGAAATCAGCACAGCTCTAAATTAATAAAATAAAATCTGCATAATTATTATATAATATATATTATTATATAATAATATTATATTATATGTGAGTGCACTTCCCCTAAATGTAGATATTATTGATCTACATTAATAGCCAAAACAATATAGTTATGTGCATATGTTGTGTTCCTATATGCACCTGCTGAAAAGCCTTATTTAGAGACATTTTCTAGGCATCAAACTGGCAGGCCTGGAAGGAGCAAGTATACTCGAAGTAGTTCCAATATAAGTAATAAATATTGTGGCTTAGAGAGGTATCTTTCAGTCGTAATATCATGAATACCTTTGCTTATTTGTTTTCGTTTGAAATAAAACAAAACAAATTTGCAATGATGCGCATAAATTATGTTTGTAATTCCATTCGAGCCGCATATCAAAGACTCGAACACGCTGCACTTGATGTCAATTAGACAAAGGGCATGGGCATGGGCATACATATTTCTAATCTCATTGCAAAAACCACTAAAAAGGCAAAATTCCATGAAAAATTCAGTCAGCACTGTCGGACGCTCGTTGAACAGTCTCTTTTTGCTGATAAGGTCTGGCAGGCGATTCAAAGAGGGTTCAGTGTGCAGTGTGCAAATCATAATCCAATTAGTCAATAAATTATTAATTACAGGACACGCCCTGAATGCCTTTAATTGTTGTTGTTGTTGCGTGTTGAGCTGCATTTTTGTGTGTGTGGCATTTACTTTATATATTTGTAAAGCTCGGCGCTCTGCTGAATTCTGAGTATTTATTTCGCAAAAAAGCAAGATGAATTTAAATGACTTTTTCTGTCCATATCGATGGCACTACTATCACCATCCATATCCATATCCATATCCATGCATCCATAATTTCCACACAATTGACTCAATTCGCAGGACCCAAGCGAATCCCACATGATGCACTCACTCCCCACTCCCCACACACTCTCTCTTTCGCCTCATGATTTATGCAGTGCAGTGCCAAACAGGAGACAACAGGATACTGAGAAGCAGGGGTGGCAGCAGGGGGGGATGTAAGCAGTAATTTTATTTTCTGTTAATTTTGTCAGACAATCGCAAAACAACTGCATATGCCACAACATAACAGCGGAACGGGGACGGGGGCCACTGAATAAAACGAAAACGAAAACGAAAATAATACAACAATTTATTTTATTGATGACAATTTCTATCTGCCACTGGGCTGTTTTTGTGCATACGAAATCAGCATCAGCAGCAGCAGCAGCAGCATCATCAATAGAGGGGCCAAATTTATCTCCCACACTGGCCAGTTGGCCAGCAGCTACTGCTGCTACACTCCTCACAATGTGGACCCGCGCACATATGGCCCAGCACTTCAATTGCATTATGGACTGGAATCCTCCTATAACGAACAACACACAAAAAATACTCCCGGGCCAGAGGACAGCAAGTGCATTTTCGGCGCCCCTCATTGCTGACATTGCGCATACCCTGCAGCTAAACAGGGACTACCCAACTCTAATAAATACTTACCTATAAAATGACATTTAAACAGCAGATTAGATGGGTAATAATACTTATTTGAGGCGGGAGACAGCTTATATTTCTTCAAACTTCTTATCATTATGAGCAGTGGCTGTCATAATCTATTAAATAGCTAATGGCATCGAAGACAAATGTCAGGGCATATTGCACAAAAGCTGATACACAAATACACAAATACACAAATATAAGAGTAGTATTTTGTACACAATAATTCAGTTGAAGCTCTTTGAAGCGTTGGGTTGGGCTCACTGCCATTGTTAAAATTTACAATTGCGATTCATCAAAAATAGATTAGGTTTTCATTGCAACAATGCATATTCACAACGACAACGATGGTGGGGATGTGAGAGTGGTTGTGTGTGTGGATGGGGACACTCCAGAGATACTCCAGTACATTCATCCACATATGTCGTGGCCTCTGCCTCTGCCTCAATATTCAATATGTTTGTCATGGGTGGGTCCATGGGTTCAGCTAGTAATCAAACAATTGCAAATTGCAATGTTTATTGTAAATCAAAAATGTATTTACGAGTGTGTATCTTGAGAGAACATTTTGCAGGAAGTCAACCCATCTGAGCTTCCTTTTGGCAGCTACAAATTAGATAGTTGCAACGCTCTTCTAATGCCACAAAAATCGTGAACGTGTTTAAATATGCGGAGCGGAGCTCCGGCACACAAAAGTGCCGTAAAATAAAATAAAAAGAGAGCGGAGCAAACTTTGAACTTTAAATAAATTTTTTTTGACTTTGCCTTTGCCGCGGAAAAGTTCTTAAATAAAATAGAATATGAAAGAGGCAAACGGGCGAACGGGCAAAGAGAAAGCAGTAGAAAGCAGCGAAAAGAAGCAGCAACTAGCACACTTATGTGCAACAGAAAATTCGCTGAAATAATGGGCCCAGAAGCCTGGCCATTATTTTGGGCTTAAGCGAGCTCCACGCTCCGCGAGGAGCAGTCATCCAGGATATGGACTCTAGGAGTAAGAATACTGGCTTGGGTATGGGCTATGGATATGGCTATGGCTATGGCTATGGCTATGGGTATGGGTATATGGGGGAGGGGAATGTGCATAAAATTTAATGCCTGCTTCACATCCTCCTACGGCGTCTGGCGGTTGCCAAGTTTTAGCAGCAGTTTCTGCAACGAATATGTCAAAGAGTACGATGGCACATCCTCGACTCTGTTGCATTATGAATGCCGCATAATTTAAGCGCATACTGTGTCGGGTCTCCACTGCATGAGCCATAAGAAGTTTTCCAGGATCGGAATTGGGTGTAGGAGGTAGGCAGGGGGGGCAGAAAACTTGCGCTTTAAGGTACTCCATATCCCCGTGCTGTCGCATCTACTAACGATTGCTTGGACCCAGCTTTGGGCTTTGGGCAAGTGCAACGGCAACTGCAACACGACTTGCCACTTCTAGTTGCCCTTTCGAAGTGTTTGCTTGACGCTTCCAAATCTCTGCAGGAGGACCTTACTTGAGTTGAGCTCCCTGCTACTCCTCCTTGACAGTTGCAGCTGGCAGCTGGCACAACTCTTGGGCAAAACTTTACTCTTTCCGTGCGGTGTTGGTGCTGTGTTGGTGCTGTGTTGGTGGTGGTGGTGGCCGCAAGTGTCCTGCGTGCGTGCCGTGTCCTCTTCCGGTCAATCGCTTTGTAATGTCCCAGGCACTTGTCTTGCCCTGCCTTTGGCTCGAAGAGGGACAAGTGCGGTCCGGAATTGAGTCGCTCGGAACGTGCCCAACGACAGGATATTACATGCATAAGTGAGTGCTGATGGAAGGCAGTTAAAAGTTAAAGGCAACGCCACACAGCTCGAACGGATGGATCATCTGCGATCCACATTTGAATTCCCGATATATTTTATGCGTCTTTTACCTCTCTGAATTATTGCTAAATTTCTTCACTGACTTGCATATAGAGTGGGCTGTGGGTTGTGGGATGTGTGCTGGCTCTCTCTCTTATGCGGTGTGTAGTCCTGTCGCTCTGGCAACTGTCGCAGTGGCCCACATTTCCAATCATCCTCGCCGCTGGGACTGCATTGGGGAGCTGCTGCACTTACGCAGCTGCTCTGATTGCTGGCGTTCCGTAACTCATAGAAGCCGCAGCTTAAAGTGCCACCCCTTGCCGCCCCTTGCACCTTAGAGCTGCGGCGCTGGGCTGACAGTTTTTCCTTTAGTTTTACGCGCTGTTGAAAGTCATGAAAAAAGTGGAAAAACAACGCGCCCAGGACGCGCACGTGTGGCAGAGTCTCCAGTCTCCAGTCTCTGCATCTTTTGCATTTGCTACTATCCGTGGCTGCCCCCGGTTTGCAGCACGTGCCACACGTAAAACTTAAAAATGCCGCACCAACAGCTGCCGCCAGCTGCAGCCAACTTCTAGCCACTTCCTGCCTGCCAGCCTGCCTGCCTACCTGCCTGCCTGCCTGCCACCCGCTGCTACCAACAACTGCAACTGTTGCTATCGATACTCGCACTCGCACCAGTTGCCATTCCCGTAGACAAGCGAGCGAGCGAGCGTCCTGCCACTTGATACCCTTCACAATTGAGGTCCTCCCGCCACCTTATCGGGCCATTTACGACGTCTAGTTGAGCTCCTCCTCGAGATTTCCAAACCAAATTTCAAAAGTTCTCCAATCTTGCTTCCATGGCACAAAAGTTGTTAGCAAAGCCCATGGCTACGGGGCTATTCGGGCCATTTAGCGGTTGGAAAGAAACGCTGCAGTGGATAAGTCCGCTTGGCGAAGGGCATTAAAGATGCCTCGTTGAGGCCTCAAGTTCAGCCAGCCAGCCAGCAAGCCAGCCAGCCAGCCAGCATCTTGTCTTACTGGGGCAAGGTGGAGCGAGTGGCGGGGCCCAAGTGCGTTGGCACTTTTGCGCTTTTGCATATCGCGCGGCACTGCCACTCCCTGCGCTGCGCTGTGCTGCGCTGCTCTGCGCTGTGCAACCTGCGAGGCGACTGCACAGGTTGCCATCGTAATTTACCAACTATATCCGCCTTGTTACCTCTCCCAATCTCGCTGCGAGGAGCACTGGCACCCACTGGCACCCACTGGCACCCACTGGCACCTTCGCTGGCTGGTTTCCGGATACGGAAGCGTGCCATAAAAGTGGCATATTTGCCGCATCCTGTTGACAATAACTGAACTGGTCCACGTCCGTGTTGCCCCAGCAGCACGCTCTCTCTCTCGCGATGCGCGATTTTTGGTTAGTGGCTGGAAAACCCTGGCCTTGTTTGGTTT